CGGCATTTACGTTGTAAGATGTCTATGGGCTCCAGTAACCACTTAACTAAAAAAAAGCTGAACAGTAAGTTTTCTTACCAATTGTTTATGAATATCGGATGTTGCATTGTGTAAATAAGAAAGGACAATGAGATGTATTCTGCCAAAAAAAAATATTTTTCAAAATGGCCGTTATTCATTTTAAAGAGAATTTACTTTTTAGACGAAGAAGAGCATACGACCTACCTATTTAGTAAGTGTTCACCGTCGCTCATGGACATCAACAATGCTAGCAATGCGAAGTCGCCACCTACTGCTCAAGTCTCTCTTCAAGCCACGTTTGATGAAGTACATTTCAGAATGCTCGAGAAACACCGTGGAATACATTTGGGAGTCTGACGATAAATGGTAAAAAAATATATTAGACTGTCTACCAATTTTAAGAAAGCGAGTCCAAACAGTATGAACTCTGCTCTGGTGACGGGAGATGCGTAAAAAAGAAGGGATTATCTCGAAAACTTCCTCAAAACACTGAAATCTCATTTCCATTTATTTTATTCAAAAACTGAAAAACGAACCCCGCAACTGGTTCGTAAGAAGCACGCAGGAGCCACGTGCGCTAGGGGCTATAACAAAAATAAATAAAAAACTAAAAATTTCATTAATTACTGACCGATTTCTTATTATCTCTTAACGATAAACGCAACCGAACATCAAATCTATTCTGTGATATAGAAACTCAAATATTTTACTCGACAACATTAAATACGTAATATTCATAGTGATGTGTAAGCAATACAAAAAACCAATACATAGGTGGCACAACGTGTTTTATAATGAGACAAGTCATACTGTCTTAAATTTCATTTGAGTGCTTATTTCTCAAAACTATCATGAAACTTATGAACTTATGTTCTCTACTAATCCTCTGGTCTTAACAAAAATGAAATTAGTGACTGAACTACTGAACTACTGAGTAGAACTACTGAATTGTAGGTAATAAAACTAGCAAACCCTTTTTAAGAAAATGAATGCAAAATTGGCTCATACAAGCACCAGCTGTGATGGCTGTAAAGTAACAAATCGACCATTTAACGTAATCTATATATTAATACGTGAAGCAAAAACTTTGTATCCCTTTTTACGAAAATTGCGCGGACGGAGGAGTATGAAATTTTCCACACTTATAGATAATATAGAGAAGAAGTGCACAATGCTAATATTATTTTAAAATAATGCACAAAAGATACATTAAATCAATAAAGAAAACATTACACACACTACCATGTATTTGACGCACACACGCATGCATACTATTTATTGTCAAACTTTTGTTCTTGACGTCTGTTGTCAAACTGAGAATAGATTAAATATTGTTTGTCTTTCTTATTATTTTTATAGTGTAGTCTTGGCGAAATTTGTGATTATAGAAGTATAAAATACAATCATAATAGTGTACAAACTTACAATTCCAATTAATTATAGTCGAATTTCGACTACTGCGGGACCTCTAGTTATTATAACAATACAATAATAATACTCACATAAAAACAAAGATAAAACATAAATGAGCCCGTTTAAGCAATCCCCGGGGAGCGTCAATTAACTTTGTACGGACAATTGAATTGGGACCACATCTTAATATTCTCCAGTGAAACGACAAAAAATGTACTAAATTAGTTAAACTTTTTCTGGGGCTTTTTCTCGCTGACAAGGACTCGGACAATGATCTCGTTTAGTGAAAATAATCATTGTAAAGTACTGGAAATGTCGTTTTTTCGTAATGAATTAAACAGTCAATTATATGGAATAATAAGCTAATTTAATATTATGATTTTTTTTATTGCTTAGATGAGTGGACGAGCTCACAGCCCACCTGGTGTTAAGTGGTTACTGGAGCCCATAGACATCCACAACGTAGATGCACCACCCACCTTGAGATATAAGTTCAAAGGTCTCAAGTATAGTTATAACGGCTGCCCCACCCTTCAAACCGAAACACATTACTGCTTCACGACAGAAATAGGCAGGGTGGTGGTACCCACCCGCGCGGACTCACAAGAGGTCCTACCACCAATAAACTCACAAAAGGTCTTACCACCAATACAATATTAATTTTATGGAACTATTTAATAATTCATGTATTAATCGGGTTATCGTAGCGTATTTGTAGCACGCTCGTAGAGTGTCTGTTCGCGTCTCACGTAACTGAATTTCGGAATAATTGTCATGCGAGACGACGCCGCCGCGTAGAGCATAACGCGCGTAGCATTATGCGTGTTATCGCCTGATCTGTTTCCGGCTGTTGCATGCTTTTATAAACTGGCGCATGCTCTACGCTTGTTCGTAGCACTGGGCATGATCGTTTTGTGCCGAATGTGTGCTACGTGTTTTCTGTCTGAAATCTCATCTAGTGTACGTAATGGGAAATGCAAGCCCACTGAGTTTCTCGCCGGATCTTCTCAGTGGGTCGCGTTTCCGATTCATTGGTAGATTCTACGAAACACGGTTCTTGCTAGGGTTAGTGTTAGCAACGACGTCAGGTTTGAGCTCCGTGAGCTCACCGACTAGTTAAGGTTACGCTGAAATATTCTCTCAAGACTAATCATCTAGGTAAGAAAAAAAAAAAGAGAGATACACTCACGAGTGCTAACGTATTTAAGTGGACGCATGGACAATGGTTTCATTTCAGCTGCTTACCCGTAGTTATTGAATTATAAAGGATATCAGGGTCAAATTATATATTCTGAGTGATCGGCCATGTTTTTTTTTTATTGTAAAAATTAATTGTCTACTTTATTGTACAGCGCCTCTTCCGCCCACAAACGAAAGAGCGCGACTGCTTCGCGACAACCATACAATCTATGGTTGTCTATGGCATAGATAATACACATCTATCTATCTCTTAGGTTTATGGCGTTTAAAATGCGACAACGAAAATCAACATTCATTCAGCTGTCATGATGATACTAGAATAAGTTCCACAAAGGTCGGCATAATAAAATATGGTAAAATCTGAATTTAAAGACTAATGATTTTTCGAAAAACTATATAATGTTACCATTCAAACATACTTTCAAGTATTTCTCTACGTAGATAACCTAAAACTAAAACTTAATTTAAAATATAAAAAAATCGGAATCCTTATCTTAAAGCTTATCCTAAACGTAGCATCTGCTACGTAGTTCAATCTGTAGACATTTTAATGTTATGTATACATATAAGGAGCAACGTTAAAAAACTATTTTTTTATCTACCTTCTCCTGTCAAAAGGTCAAAGAGTTTATATTCGAGCCAGACAAAGGCGCGACCTTTGTTTTATCTGAGGCCATCGGAACATCAATCGAGACTTGCTAGTACTCCACCTTAATTCATTTGGAAAAAAAACTTTTGAGTCTTTAATTTGGAAAAAAAACTTTTGAGAGTATTTACTTTACGATTGTTGCAAAAACATTTAAGTGTAGTAATGCGAATGCACTTTAAGCACTCGAAAACCTTACGCAAATATAGATTGCGATATAAACGTAGATTAGAGAAACTGTAGAGAGATTAGTAGAAAAACGTAGAGAGATTAGTAGAAAAACGTAGAGATTAGTAGAACGATAGATCTTGTCAGTATTTCTTTTAATGTTTCATTTTTCTAAGTAAACTAGTGTTTTTTTTTAAACATATTCTTTCGATATTATTTAATTTTAGTTATCGTTAGTAAAATAATTCATAATTCATACTTTTGTTTTGCTTTTGTTAAATTTTGTTTTCTTTTTTGTTCATTACGAACTTTTATAGCCCGGAGAAAAAGACCGAAATCCGAACCGACCGAAGATTAATGTAACGAAGACACACCTCACATACAGCAGACGTCCAATATAAGACAAAGTGAACAGAAAAGCCTCGGAAAGCTGACTCCACCACCGTTGACGGTAGCTGCGGCAAGCAACAGAGAAAAATACTCCTAAACGATTCTGAGTGAAATGTTTTGAACTAAACTTATTTAACATACTAGTTTTAAGACATATTGAATTATGACTTTTTTGAGTTTCTAAATTGGAACGTATATTTTGACAAATGAATGAGTATCGAATTTTTTGAAAACAAATTTTTTTAACTCAAATTTAACATGACAACGCTATCACATGTTCCCAGTCAGTATTTAGAGGTATATTATATACTGATCACGTAAGAAATGTAAAATAACTGAAGCTTTTGATTTTTTGTATACGTGTTAATGTTAATATCCTTAAAACGCTGCAGAAAATCAAGATACTAAATGTTTTTCCTATAGCATATTTAATAGAAGCCCAATAAAAAAAAACCGAATCGTAGTGTAGGTGCTAAACCCCCAGACAAGCGATTAAGTACATCCCTGATTCTTCAATATTTTCGATTCGATCGTAAAACTCCCACCTCGTCTCAGAGCTCATTCCGAGCGAATCATCACCATTTCGCGCAGTCGGCAACAATCCTCCCTAAATACGTTAGTTAATTTCAATCTTATACCGGAGCAATAAAACCGGAGCCGAAGCAAGACTCGCTCTGGCGTCTGCAGCCTCGTAAAATCTCGACTTTTTTCTATAGGTTTTTATTACTATGAACGAAATGTTTCATGAAGGATAACCGAGATCCCACACGTGTTTTTATACTTGAAAGTTTAGAAAATGCTCTTGTTACCTTAATCAGATTATATTTCGAATGTTTATTAAACTTACTATCGTGGTTGTGACCATTTGGTTGGAAAGTTTAAATAGTTTCTTAGATAGATTTAAATGGCTTCGACATGTGAGAATTGAGAGAAGTAACCGTATAAAACATAAAACAAATGTAACTTCATTTATTGAAGTCGGCATGCTGGAAAAAGAGCCTATACGATACATCTCACCATCTCCGGTCTGTCCAGTAGGTCTAGCTCCAGCTAATGCAGCGCTATCCCACGGGATACACTCACTACACCTCGGCTCAGAACACAAGGGAAAATCGATGGTATAAACAAGAGGGGCGCGTGTCGCCTGTTGCACGCCACTCACCGGGCAGCAGAGCCAGCAGCGCGAAGGCCGCCAGGATCGGCACCATAGCGGCACCGCGCGGGCATACCACACCCGCGCTCGCTGCGCTAGCACGCCGCCGCGCTCATACGGCTGCCGACACACGTGCAGCCCTTGCAGCGCCAGGCGCGGGACTGAGCCGCCCCACCCCGCAGCCGCTCCCCACCCCACCTGCGCTGCTCCCCGCGCCCTCCCGCGCACCCCCGCTCCCGTAGCACGCTGCGCAGGTGCGCGGACCGGACCGGCCCTGCCCCTCAGGATACGCTCAAATAATCACTTAATATCTCATGGCTCGTTACCGAACCTCAGATGTGAGGTTGACGGCAGGTTAAAGAGTCGATAAGTGTCGGGAGATGACCGGGGCAGGGGTTTCAAGGTCGGTGCAGCCTCCCCGCGGGATGCGACGTCGCCCTGTAATCTCGCCGCGGTCGGAGCTCGCCCAGCCCTGCTGAGATATTAACGGCACTAGCCCCCCGCGCTCACATCACACACGTTTCATTAAAAATTTCTGTGGAACTTTGAAATGTTTTCCACGTAGTTGCGTTCTCAAAACTTCATTCACGCATTTCAAGAGGAATGTAGAATGAAAAACGTTATAATTGTACAGGCGACTGAACCCGCGCCTGCGATCAAAGCAATTCAACCCAGTTCCCGTCTAATAAGCATTTTACGAGCAACGCACGACAGTTATTTGCTTAAAGTTTCATTCGTTTCTAGCTCGCATATTAGTTTCATGAAAACTTTTGCAGTTTTAGAGAACGTATTGCATTTATTATGAAAAAAACTAAATCCAATATCCGTTTTAGTGGCTACAAATAATATCGGTAATAAACTCCAGCAGCCAGTAACGTTTTACTAACTGAATTCGAGCAAACGATCTATGAAATAAAATGCGACCTGATTTGAACAGTGAAAGAATTATATGTCGTTTGGAACCTAACCGCTTGAATCTGCGGATATACTTCGGTACTTTATGTTCCATGGGGAGTGTTGTGAGAAATAATTTTTGTTTGTTCCATCACCGCCTTTCACCATACCGCCCTACTGGTGTAGTGTATCCTACTGTAAGGGTAAAAGTGAATAATTGACTGTTACACCAACCGCTGTTGAAGTTACAGTGGTGGAGATAAGACTCAATTTTAATATAAGGTTTCCCAGGGCGCCATAAAAAAAACATAAGTGCATCAATTCAGACATTTAATGCATATAGCACGTACACACACAAAATATAAATAAATGAAAGTATATAAAATCAACATAAAATATGAATAAATGAATTCAAGGTAGCCGAATGATGATGGTGAAATGTTACATAGTGATAAAGAATTATACGTATTTAAAAAAATGTGTGATTCTGACCCACGCTGCCTAGGGATCTGGGATCCAATGAGGATATTCCAGCTCCTTGGCGTGAAGTGACAATTAGACTGTACTAAGTCTGGTACTAAGTCAACACAATCCACGGAGCGTATTCCAACCAAAAATAAAGTCATGAATAACGGGACAATTGGAACCCTACAATTAACTAATTTATTAATTATACACAATAAGTCTCAAGAATCTACAGAGACCAGACAAAGTGATAATTTAAAACTTACCGATAATATAAATCGAGCACTATTAAACAACTTGAATTATGACCATTCATAAATAGTTATTTAAACATGTGTAGACTAGACATCTATTGCAAATATTAAGCACGGTTTCAGAATGAGTGGCTTTTTTTCCTACCTATGCTGATAGCCTTGAGTAGCTATTTCAGCTTCTCCTTGCGTGTAGGTGAGCTCACGGGGCTCAAGCCAGAGGTGTTGCTAACACTGGCCCTAGCAAGAGCAGTGCTTCGCAGAATCTACCACCGGACCGGAAACGCGGCCCACTGAGAAAATCCAGCGAGAAACTCAGTGGGCTGTGTTTATGGGTTAATTCGCTCGTCGCAATCGACGGGTTCGACGAGGATGGTGACTGGAGTGGCTTTATTGGTTGCACGCTTTTTTATATATTCGAGAACAAAAGAATTCTAAATGTAGGTGCTGTCAACATTTGGACACAATATAACAGTGTTACACTACTACAATACTACTAGTATAGTATAGTTCATCCCTACTACAGGCATACACTTCAACCTTTTTCATACCATAGAAAGAAGTAAGTCATCTAGCTTAAAGCATCCTTATTATTGATATATTGTTGATTTAATAACATTTTGTAAATTTTCTATGTTATGTATATTACATTATAATTATAATATTAAATAAAATATACTAGTATGTATAACATTCTTTCAGAGGTTATAGGGCACACCGAATCAGTAGCAAGGTCACGATGATTTAAAATCGCTTCTGAAGCTTTACCTTATTTAAAAAACACTTTATATCAATTTAATTAAATTAGATTTTGATCACACTTGACAATACCATACGTTCTTTCTTACAATACAATTCATCCTTCATTCTTAATTGGTAAATCATGTGTTTGCTTATAATTGAGGAAGTATACATGTAATAAACCGGCCATTAATTAAACTTTAGTGGAAAACCTCAATAAATAAATAGATAGGCTTCTAGAAGCCATTTTCGCCGCATGTCAACTATTGAATTGAAATTCCCTGCACGATGATTCCCAGGTGCTCCCACATTTCCTTATTCAAATTAGTTTAAAAACGACTGCATAATTTCGGCAGCCGGCGAATTCACATCGCCTACATTACATAACGCTTGTATTAATTTAAAAAAAAAAACCAACAAAACAAATCATTTTTGTGCGCACAAAGACAAGCTCGCAGTCCACCACAAAATATTACCAGCGTCCAGAAACATCACAACCGTTGCCATTCCCTTGTAACACATGAGGTTAGAGTCGCATTTTAATAAGGCTAACATAATAAATAGCCTTTAAGACTTAGCTGCTCGGGCGTAATCCCTATATTATTATTATATCCTTCATTCAGCACGGGCAACCAGAAAATTACAATAAAATAACATTTTATCTAAGTCTCACATTGGACGCGCGAGGCGGAAATTCTATAATTTATTAAGAATTTCGATTGCATTTTTGCTTCGAATTTCAATAATAATAATTAAAATTATTGTATTTATTATAAAATCCCTCTAAATGATTTGAAACCGCATAGTTTAGTTAATTTTAAACGCATCGACTATTTTACAATTTTACGGTCTTGCATCCCAAAAGATTTTTTTTTATTTCGATAACCTCCATAAATATAATAAGACTTATACTTTTTTACAACACTAGATAAGTTATGTAGCCACGTAGTGCGACATGGGTACTGCCGCCAACCTTCTGACATGTGGCGAAAATATTATTTGTATTCTATCATGAATGTATCATTCTATAGTAGAATGGACTTGGCTGTGCTACTTACCTTCGAATGGACAGTATCCTGCTCGTCTGCCCAAAAATATATTTCTATGTCTGTACTCCTTGTTTCAAAACAAAAATTTTGGGTTGGTCCAGTGACAATGCTTTAGGTATCGCTTACTGCTTATGGCGACCACAGTTCATGAAACAGTCCGTGACAGCTCGACGTAAACATCTCTTAGGAGTCCGTGATGCTTTCAGGCCTATTTTTTCCAACAACGTCTTAATAATTCTTACAGTTTAGAAATGTCACTCGACTTAAAGCAACTTTATTTATTTTTGACCCCCGTTGGTCTATTGATTGATGACCCTGGTTAATACACCACACGATCTGGTTTTGAATGCCGATAATTGATGGATTAATCAATGAATGACGATCGAGTCAATATATTTCTTATTGATATTTGCCTCATAATAGTTTCTGTTGACAATCACGCCACAGATAAAAACTTGAAGGCATTCAATTTGGAAGGCTTATTATTATGTAAAACTTCATTTAACTGGTACGTCATAAAAGTCAAGATACTCAAATAGAGTATTTTGGAAGAGTTTCTTTAAAAAAATTAAGTGTTGCAGTTCGTTGGCCTACATATTCATAAAGGAGTAAATTGGCGATTATTTACCCGTTAAAAAATGCCTACCGCAAATCGAATTGAACAACGATGAATTCACAGCTTGTCATACGCACGGCCGCGTGACACGATCATCCGAAATTAGGTCACGCTGTGAATTGAACCGCAGACCGTGATGCGAGATACGAGCGAGCAGCCCTGTCATCATGTTTTTATTTTTTAATTTTTGGAACGAAGTTCCTTATGGGACGATGCGGAGGGGTACCCTAACTGGGAAAAAACGTCCGTAACGTAAGATTTTTATTAGTAACGCACGCAGTGTACGACTTAACTTTGTAATAACGTACAAAAAATAACATATTTTTATTATATATTTTCTATAAATCATTGTGAATAAAATAAAGTTGATAACTTTGTAAAGTAGTTTTTTTTTATCAATAAAAAAATCATAATAAAAAATGTACACCCAAATAATTATTTTCTTTATACCTCGAATAGAACTTAAAATTAATATTTTTATAATAAGAAACTTCGTCCCTATCCGGTGTCCCACGACACCACACACCTATTTTCTGTCCTGATACTGCCAATAACCTTGAGGGGTTATAGGGTTATACTGCCTTCACTGAATATGTACGTGCGCTCACGGCCTCAGCGTGAGATTGTTAACATTAGTCCTAACTAGAGCAGTGCTTTGCTGAATCTACCACGGATCGGAATAGCGACCCACTGAGAATATCCAGCGAACAACTCAGTAGGCTGTCTGTGTGTTAAGTTGCACGTCAAGCCCTTTGTTTTATTCGACGAGCTTGACGAAAACAGTGACCGATGTGTGGAACGGGAAGGCCGACTTGAACTATAATCGTTTATAACAGATTAAAAACAATGTGCTAAAAACTTTTTTTACTGGTGGTAGGACCTCTTGAGAGTCCGCACGGGTAGGTACCACCGCCCTGCCTATTTCTGCCGTGAAGCAGTAATGCGTTTCGGTTTGAAGGGTGGGGCAGCCGTTATTACTATACTTGAGACCTTAGAACTTATATCTCAAGGTGGGTGGCGCATTTACGTTGCAGATGTCTATGGGCTCCAGTAACCACTTAACACCAGGTGGGCTGTGAGCTCGTCTACCCAGCTAAGCAATAAAAAAAACCTAAATACATTGCTAG